GTCTATGTCAGAAGTTGTTAACCATAAACATCTGTTTATTTAACTTTTTTTCTCCTCAAAATCAGCACAATGCTGGTGATAGACCACTGCTGGGGTGTTGTTGTCTTGGAGGTCACACAGAAAAATAAAACAGGATAATACTACACCACAGGCCCAAAGATGACAAAGAGTAAGAGAACAAAGACGCTGAAGCATCTAATTGGAATAAAGAATTGATTCATTTAACCAGCATTGAAAGAACCTATTCAATATGGGCCACAGAAGAATGACGGCACAGAATCTAACTTAATCTTTAAAGGGAACTATTAAGCTTTTATTGAGCATTCTAATGAGATCTCTAATTAACATCTATAAGTAATTTCCAGGCTTGATATAATTTGATTCACAAGTAAAAAGTAATCACAAATTGCTTGGTAGAGTACTAAGTCCTTGTCAAGTTTCCGAACAGTGAAAAACTGAAATGATTATGTTTAAGATGAAATACAAAATTAAGTAAAATTTATGAAATAAAAATGAAAGATATCGACAAATTTGTAATATTTTAATATTTTTAAATATTTTATTCAAATAAAAAAATGACAATAGTATGACAAAATTGCTAATTACTAATGAAAATATAAAAATGAAAGCTAATTCAAATGATTAAATACTGTACTATACAATACTACAGTACTGAAATATACAATACCACAATACTAAAATATCACTGTCATTTACTCACCATCAAACCTGTATGACTTTTTTATGACAACTCACAATTTTCAAAACTGTTTTATGGAGCTTTTGTCTATACTGAATGTTTTTTTAGAAAGATGTTTTGTCAGCTGAACAATTGGCATGTTGTTAAACTACTAATCATTGAATCTGTCATGAATGAAATATGGCACTACCCTAAATAAGGTCTACATTGTTTTGGACCCCAGTGTTCATCAAAATATATTTTTTGTGTTATTTTTGTGTTCATTTTTGCATGAACTATTTTATATCACTCTATTTAGTAGCCACATTACATATGCTACAGAAAATATATTTTATACACAGCTGTAATGCTTTCACAAAGCTGATGCACTAATAACAATACTTGTATTGATCAAATAAGATTGAAAACTGCTAACGTGGGTTTGAATTACAACTGTGGGCAAACTAATCCAAATGGAGAATACAAAGAGTAATAAAAGTTATATTACAAAAGGAAGTCAGATTCAAGGTCACAGGCGAAGATATTAAGAGGGTAAAAAGCATTCTCTATTAATATGAAATGAATATTGACAAAAGGGACTGTAACACGAAGACTCAGGCTTGAAAATGGTTCTGTTTATGGTCCTGTTTGTGTCGTTATTACCCTTCCTGGTCCTCTGGGTGCATACAGGCCTTCTGAGAATGTTGTAAAAGGCTTTAATCAACAGAGGCAAACAGATTGTAGTGATTACAGAGGGGTCAGAGGGTTCACTGTATCGAACAGTTCACCTGAGTTCAAGCTAAATGAGATGCACAGCGCTGTTTGAATAATTAAGGAAACACTATATCAGGTTACCATGGCAGATCGAGCCCTGCAGCAAACCTTACGGTAACCACAGAGTCATGTATATTCACACTGTGACCTCTTAACAATGGAATTAGCTCTGCTTAGTTTCTGCAAGGTTCACAGAAATAGTGGACACCCGCAAGGACTGGCAGTTTTCCACAGATGGCCGAACTGTTGGACAAGCGGAGGAGGGTTAGGTAAAGGTTATATGAAACACTATAGCCAGAAGGCCCACTTCTCTCATCAATAATCTGATTCAGTGACAAAGGACTGCAAACTCCCAATTCTGTTAGTGACCAAGGCCCCAGAGGCAACAGTCACATGTGCTGGCTATTGGAAATCAATACAAGGTATATAATGATGCTCAGGCCAAGCTGTTACATTTGGTGCAGAAATATGTAGTAAACATCTTTTCATCTGTGGTCAGTTGAAGCCGGCTGGCCCCTCTCCATCCAGAGTATAATTGCATTTTCCCTGTGGGCTCACAGAACAGTGAAGTGTGATGATCTTACTGCAATCTGCAACATCGTTTAAAGGGTCACTGAGCTGCTAGTGTTGAGCTGAACAGAAAGGGTCGTTCAAGTTGATATTTGAGCACTGAGGTGTCCACGCTTTTTTTCAGTTGTTTTAAAGTTATAGTTCACTCAAAAAAAAAAAAAAAGTGCTGAAAAATTACTCACTCTCAGGTCATTCAAGATGTACATTCATCAGAACAGATTTTGAGAAATTTAGCATTGCATCAGCTGAATGGGTGTCGAATGGGTGACGTCAGAATGAGAGTTCGAACAGCTAATAAAAACATCACAATAATCCACAAGGAATTGATTTGGCTCCAGTCCATCAGTTAACGTCTTGTGAAGTGAAAAAATGTGTGTTTATAAGATGTGTGTTTTATTAGAAACAAATCCATCATTAAGGGGTTTTAACTTTAAAATGTCGCTTCTAGCCAAAATATGAGTTCTTAATAACACTTCCTTCATTGAAAAAAAGGAATCCCCTGTTGTCCTCTCACATCAAAATGCGAACTGCTTTGGACTTATAAATGATGTTTATTGCATATTTCTCTCCTGTTTCAAATGAGACTACTTTTTCGCTGCAGAAATATTAAAAGATAAAGAGCCCATATTTTAGACAGAAGTTTAGCAAGTTCTTAAAGTTATAGTTCACTCAAAAAAAAAAAAGTGCTGAAAAATTACTCACTCTCAGGTCATTCAAGATGTACATTCATCAGAACAGATTTTGAGAAATTTAGTATTGCATCAGCTGAATGGGTGTTGAATGGGTGACGTCAGAATGAGAGTTCGAACAGCTAATAAAAACATCACAATAATCCACAAGGAATTGATTTGGCTCCAGTCCATCAGTTAACGTCTTGTGAAGTGAAAAAATGTGTGTTTATAAGATGTGTGTTTTATTAGAAACAAATCCATCATTAAGGGGTTTTAACTTTAAAATGTCGCTTCTAGCCAAAATATGAGTTCTTAATAACACTTCCTTCATTGAAAAAAAGGAATCCCCTGTTGTCCTCTCACATCAAAATGCGAACTGCTTTGGACTTATAAATGATGTTTATTGCATATTTCTCTCCTGTTTCAAATGAGACTACTTTTTCGCTGCAGAAATATTAAAAGATAAAGAGCCCATATTTTAGACAGAAGTTTAGCAAGTTAAAAATGTCTTCATGATGAATTTGCTTTTTACAGATATGTAGCTTTTCACTTCACAAGACATTCATTGATGGACTAGAGTCGTATGGATTGCTTGTGGATTATTGTGATGGTTTTATCGGCTGTTTGAACTCTCATTCTGATGGCACCCATTCACTGCAGAGGATCCATTGGTGAACAAGTGATGTAATGCTAAATTTCTCAGAATCTGTTTTGATGAAGCAACAAATTCATCTACATTTTGGATGGCCTTGGATGAGAGTGAGTATTTTCATTTTTAGATGAACTATTACTTTAATATTTTTTATTATTGCCATAGTAATGTCCATCTGTACAAAACATTATTCTTCATTCCAAAAATATCCTGTTAAATTTATGGTAGGTAAAAAATTAAAAAAAGTTGTGACTACTAGAAATTAACAATATGATAATGTTTGCATTATTACGGGATTTAATATTGGTGCACTCTCAGAAAAATTGTGCAAAAATTGTACCTTTACAAAAGCTTGTCACTGGGGCAGTACCCTCAAAGGGACAACTTTGTACCTAAAGGGTCCATGTTAGTTCCATAAAAGTACATATTACTACCTCAAGGGTCCATATTACTACTCTAATGTACTAATATTCACCCTTTAGGCATAAAGAAGGTGCAAAGGTGTGTGTGTGTGTGTGTGTGTGTGTGTGTGTGTGATATATATAGGATCCAGTGAGAAGCGTTTGAATTCACAGCACAATGATAAGGTTGCTGTGAGATCTAGTGAGAATCATTCAAATTCTGCACAGAATTCTCTGTTATAAACAGCGCTGACATACAGTGGGTACGGAAAGTATTCAGACCCCCTTAAATTTTTCACTCTTTGTTAGGAGCACTTATTGGCTTATTAATCATTCATTTCTACTTGTTCTCTATATTTTGAAATTATAAAATCACTATTATAAAATATCAAATCATCAAGAAATCAGATTTTGTCAGAATTTTACACTTGCCCTGACATACTGGCAGCAATAAATTAGATATGGGTCTAAAATAAACGACAAAGTCTTGCATAAAAACATTCAGATCTCTGTAACAATGATGATGATGATCAAGTTTCCTAACCCTTTTTTTTTTTTTACCATGAATTTACATGACCTTTCCAGTAGGCTAGTCTAATTCATGGTTTCTGCATAAGTACCCCAAAAGGCTTTCTGAATATCTATGCAGAGCAGAACCAAAGAAATGAGCATTCACTACAGAAATATCCATGACTTTGAACATTTTATTACATTTCCATGATATTTCGAAGCAAGGAAATTAGGCTACAGTTTTAATACTTATGTAATGTTCCCAGATTTTCCATAACGATGAGAGTCCTTGATTATGGTAATGCAGCTGTCTGTGGCTGTGCTGCAGAAAACAATATATATATATATATATATTTTTTTTTTCTTATTGTTGTTTTTGGTGATGAACTTTGTCACCCAGATCGCTCTGAGGTATGGAGGACCAAACCTGCAGAAATTAAAAATGAATAAATGAATGAACGAATAAATAGATAAATAAATAAATAAATGTGATAATGGGATAATAAATAAATGAATAAACGACTTGATAAAATAAATATGATTCATTTTTAATAAAATTAATTTTTTAAATAATTTTTCCCCCTTAATTTATTATTTTCTGCTTTTATACATTTTTAAAACAAAATGTACTTTTATTTTTTCACTAATTCTTTTTTAATGTATTTTTATATTTTTATATTATTTTTACATTTATTTGTAGATTTATTTATATATTTAGGAATTCTTTTTTTTTTTTGAATGATTTATTCCCACATGTATTTAATTTTAGATTTATTTATTTATTGATTCATTTATTTTTACTTTTCCGTGTGTAACATGGAAATGAGGAAGGTGGTCCTTGTGTAGCGTCAGTGCATCATTGGTTGAGAGCTCTCGCGTAGAATCTCAGGCCAGCTAAGTGATAGAGATGAGAGTTTTCAAAGAAAATGGCGGCAAGCAGTAATTCGTTGTCCAGTTTGCTACGGGATGTGGCAGATCAGCTGGAGAGTTGTAAGTTATTTTCACCTAAAGTTATTCGCATTAATGCCGAAATATTTAAACAATTTTCCAGACATAAAAACATGAAGCTGAAGCTACTTATGTGATCCCCCACAGCATCGTCGTCATCGAGTCTGGAACCATCGACGTCAGAGCCTAGGGTGATGACACCCAGAGTCAGACACCCA